GGTCAATTATACAATCAAGAGAGAGTGATAGGCTAATTTCCTATAGGTCAAACTAGCGCCAACTATGAGAGACACTAACTAGGAACCTCACAAATCCCCTCAATCGACAAATGTAGGACACAAATTAATGGTCCGTATCAATGTGAACCTACAATGCAATCTAGTGCATCAATCAAAGTTAGCTACTCTTCAATTAAATCACACATGCACATAATCAAACAACCGATTTAATCACATCATCAACTCCATCAAGATCCCCCTATTCTCATCAATTCATCACATTATATATGTTTCACCATCACCCTAGCAAGCTAACTACTCACAATCCATAGAAATTGCAATAAAAACTAAACTAGTCAGTGGAATCATCATCATAATATCAAACAAGCTAAAATCAATCAAAACTTAATCAAATTTGAGCAATTAACAACACAAATGAAATCAAGAACTAAAGATTGCATTAAGGTAAAGAGATTCTTATCCGAGAGAAGCACGCCCGCGCTAGAGGGAAGCGCGCCCGTGCCACCAGGCCGCGCGGCCGCGCCATGGTCGCGCGCGCCCGCGCCTGGGAGTAGGGGAGCCCTCTTCCCTATCATTCCGATGCTCCTCGTGCGTTCCACTTAATGTTCTTGATAGACACGGAACCTTGCAGTTTCTAAAATCCATGTTTGCGGGTTCAAGACTAGAAATCATGCCCCCACGGCTTGAATGCACAGCTCAAGGTCTTTAATAACTTGCACTTCTCCATGCTTGAGCTTCAAATAGAGACCACAAGGCATCCTAATCAATGCCAAACTCGGGAAGCGGCTCGGGAAGCTTGGAAAACGACCTTAACCTGAAAAATAAAGAAAAACAAGCAAATAAAAGAGAAAATAACAAAATAAACTAAGAAATGCATAAAGAAAGAAATCAAACACAGAAAATGCAAACTAAAAGAAATAAAGAGTAAAATCAAGGAAAAACTAAGCAAAAGAGCTAAAGAATAGCATGAAATTCATCTTAAAGAGAACCAAATGAGTGCCAGAAATGACACTCATCAACTACACATGCGAAAAATTATAAAAAACTTGAAAGGGGGTGCAGGCAGTTACCTTTAACTTGTCTCTAAAACTCTAAAAACTGCTACAAGCGGTGACCGGTTGTGTTCCTCGAAGAGCAGCCGGAAAGCGCAATCTCACAAGCAAACGGGAGCAGAGTTTTCTCTCTCAAGATGCTCTTATTTTTCTCTCTCTAAAAGTCAAGACTTGGAGTGTGAAATGAGGAGAGGAGGAGGGTGAAACTTCATATTTATATTAGGGTAAAAATCAGGGGCATCCCTGTAAAAAAAACCCTAGAAAGTGAACAGTTTTACTACTCACCGTCGATTTACTGCCGCGTGTCATAGGCGTCCCATGGAAAGCCACGTGCCATCTGGGGAAAATATTGTGGGTAAAATTACCCTGTCCACACGGACCAATTAGAGAGGGCCAAGCCTAGGCTGGTCCAAGTGGACCAACATCCATCTGACACGTGTCACCTTCAAATACTTCTTGAAATTGCGACCTTCAAGGGCCCAATTCCTAAGAGCGCCATAAAATGGCGCATCCCACCAAATCTAGGTCAAATGACCTAGATAGGGGCACACCCTTCAATGACCCTATAAATAGGGAGATATTCCCCAAACTGTGGGACACTTTGAATAATTTATTACCTCCATATTCTCTCACATCAGAGAAATATATATATCCAGAAATCCGAGAAGATCTCACTTTTACCTTTTTCCGCACTTTTCATTTACTCTAACAGTTCTAACTTGATCGTCGGAGGCAGAGCTCCAACCACCCGGAGTCTCCGTTGTTTTGCAGGTACAACTCAGTCGGACCAGTCTTTATGACGTAACTCTCCCTAGGGACAAAAACACCCAAACAAGATTAATCTGGGCCGTTAGATCGCGTGCCTTTTGTGTTAGATCTGACGGTCCAGATTAGTTCCTAGTTATCATTATAGGATTCATTCTCATTATAACCTGGTATGTATACACACATCTATACATATATACATATATATACATATATATATATATATATATATATATATATACATATATATATATATATATATATATATATATATATATATACATCGTTCATTGCACTTCATTTGACGGCATGTAGTTCACCCGCTTTATTAAGGGTATAATGGTAATTTCCCGTTTTGAATGACTACTGACTTCATTCTAAACGCCTTCCATTTTAACTTTCTCTCTCTTCAATACACTTTCTATCTCCTCCTATATATTCTCTGATTCTCTCTTCTTGCGAATTTTTGTACTCTTCTCATCTTTGCATCGATCTACTTCTCATCTTTGTCTTTCGTTGCAGCTTGAACCTCGACAAGTAAGCTAACTAATTGTGTTTTTCTTTGTTGTTATTTATTCAATTGGATTTTAATTTTTTGATTTTTTAGGATTATGAGTATGAAATTAAGGTTTTCGTGATTTTTAATATGAGCAACTTACAATTTCGGGTTCGTTTGGCATCACTGTAGTTTTCTGGTTTTTGGTTTTCGTTTTTTAAAATCATATGATATATATCATATAATGAATCAAAAATTAGTCAAACTTATTAAAAATGATGATAATTTTGAAAACTGACAACAGAAAAGTGAAAACACCTTTTTCTTGTTTCCTGTTTTTAGTTTTGGTTTTCAAAAAAATCTAGAAACTAAAAACCAAAAACAATGCCAAACAAGCCCTTTATTTTTAATTTTAGGATTTCTTCGAATTAGAGTTTCGTTGAATTATTTTTTGTTTCAATCAGATGTTTTTCCATGAGTTTTGTTTCGAATTATTTTTTTGATGAATTTCTATGGATGTATAGTCAGCTTCTAAAATTAGCGAATTATTATCTTTTTTTCTTCTGATATTTTCATTCGAAATTTGAATTTTGATTATTGTTGTTTTATTTTATTTAATTTTTTAAAATCAAGATTATGCGATTTCGATTGCGAAAATTAGGGTTCTCACAATTGTTCTGTAGAATTAGTAATTGTATGTTCTATATCATAAGTTGGTATCAATAATTTATTTGATTTTTGAATGATTTGAGGTTTCTTTTCTTATTTGCTCAACTGAGGTTTTTTTTTTTTTTTTTTTTTTTTAAATCTATATGAATCAGATGTTTCGACTGAGGTAGGTCTTTATTTAATGAAGCAGAGTTGTATTTTTATTTTGGTTGATTCCTCTAAATTATTTGGTCTTTTTGAATGGTTATGCTTTTGAATTCTGGGTATAGTTGTTTGATGTCATATACTCATAATGAGAGTATGCAATTGCAACTTGTAATGAGAAACACTACATGGTGGAGTTGGGGTATAGAATAGTAGTTCTATTGATTAATGATTCTTTTTCATTTTCCATGCCTATAGTTAAATCAGTCAATTATATATTTACCTTGTATGTAACTGATGTGTACTTGATTTTTGATGTCAATACAAGGTGATTAAAGCATCTGAGATTCCCTTCGTGTAATTTTCATGCTTGTAAATTTTATGCTTACTTTTGAGAATTTTTCATTTACTTTTGAGTAACTACTTATTACCCTAAAAATTTTCTTACTTTTGGGATTACTATAGGGAAATATTTTGAGCTATAAAAGTAATGTTTGAGGCCTTTGAACAGCTTAGCTACCTAAACAACTAAGAACTATCTAAACCCCCCAAGTCAGTGTGCATATACTTTATAGATTACTTTATTTACCTTTTAGATACATGAATGATTTACTTTATGATGTAGTAGATGCATGAATGTTGAATCATATAGGAATTTATCAGATTGTTTTGTCTATGTTTCTTTTCATTATTCTTTGATAAGCTTACAACAATTGAACTTCTCATATACAATGGTAGAGCATTATACTATACAGATTTTATTTTATTTACTTTTGAGATTTTTTTATTTACTTTTGAGTCATTTTTCTTTACTTCAAATGCTTAATTTATATTAGCCTACTAGCTCAATAGGTAGAGCATTGTGCCAATGCACAAAAGATGTGGGTTCGAATCCCATGTAGGTTCTTCTAATACTTCGAAACACTTTGAACCATTTGATTATTGTAGATACACTTTTGAGATTTTTATATCTACTTTTGAGTTTTTCTAATTTACTTTTGAGTAAATATTATTTACTTTAAGGTTAATATTGGAGAGGAACCAACAACATTCTATTTTATGGCATTGACAACATTTGAGGCATCAAATTCCAGCATTATGTTTGTGAAACCAAAACGTCTGGCAATGTGGATCCCATAGCGCACAACAAGTGCTTCTGCCATCTCAGAGTTGGCAGCCCTTGTTCTCTTTGCTGCACACATAAGAAGGTTGCCATTAAAGTCTCGCATCACCAAACCAAGTCCCACTAGGTTACCAGTTGCAAACTAAGCATCAATGTTCACTTTTGTGACCCCTATAGGCGGGCATGACCACGTGCTCAAGACTAGGATTGCTGAGGTTGCACGTATACAATTGTCGAGGTTGTAGTTATATGTTTTATTAGATTTCTTCTTTTTTTGTTTACTGTTGATATAGTTTTAATTTGAAAACCTCTTCTTCAAACTCAATATATTTATGTCAAAGAAAAAAAAAAATGACTCATCTTGTAAGGATATGAAAGTCAATAATTCGGAGTTTTGTGCTATAACAAAGTTTAGTTACTCATTATCATTTCAAGATAATTTATTATTCATATAATTTAAAGCTAATTTTATTTACTTCAATGATATTTTGATTTACTTTTAGCATTATTTATTCACTTTTGAATAATTATGATTTACTTTTTGCATATATTAATTTACTTTTTTTTTTAGTTTTTCTACTTATTTTATAGAGATTTTGATTTACTTTTAAGGTATTTTGAATAACTTTAGAGTATTTTGTAATTACTTTTTAAGATAACCTATGTAGGAATCGAGCCTACACCTCAATACATCCGCATAGTGCTCTACCATTTGAGCTAATATGTTTACTTTTTTTTTGGACACAAAGCAAACAAGTAAATTTATCAAGGAAGACTTGAAATGTCAAGAACCACTACATCTGATAAATCATCGGGCACCTCTACGATCCACACTCTCATTTCATTATAACATTTACTCAAATGTGTTAATATGTGAGCAACCTTATTTCTCTCGTTTGTTGCTCTTGAGATGATGGTACAGTTTAGCATTGTCTGTCTCCAATCTAATTCTATTGAGACCTGCTTCAATTGCGATTTGAAAGCATTCCTAGCAGCTAGCGCCTCACTAACATCAATTGCAAAATTTTCCTGCAATCTGCAACAAGTAGCCAGCAGAACATCTCCTGTAGTGTCACGAATAATGACCCCAAACCAAATAAAATATCCTCAAAGCAGGATGCATCGGTATTCAACTTGAACACCCTAATTTCAGAAGGTTCCCATCACTGTATAGAAGCTATATGAGCATACAACATGCGATCAGGTTGAATAATAGCTTTCTCATGCTCACCAATTATGCCCATAGCTCTCCGGATTGTATCTTAAGTACCCACATCTTTCTTACATAGGATAAGCCCAGAGATACTTCCAAGCCTGCAAATTACACATATTGGATGAAGAGGCAACTATATATTAGCAATTTTCAACTATATTAGCTCTCAAATACTTGAACTAATAGGTTGTAGCACTTGTATTTAAAAATCCAAAGCATAATCGATAATCTAACTATGTTTACTTTCATTAACTTATGAGTCTAACTGGTTTACTTTTATCAACTTTCAATCTAATTTTTAAAAATACAAACTTTTAAGACTAATTGATCTACTTTTAACCAACTCCTATCTACTTACAGAAATAGAAAATTACAAGAAGCAATATTCATTTTTAATCAGCGTAAGATCCTATCCTTCAAATATAGCAGAAAATTCATATAGACTATGCATCACTTCTTTTCACCTCAGCAAAGACTCTATCAGCACATGACTTATAGTCATACCTAGTGAAACCTGTAGCTAGAATTATAGGATCGTATGTTGACGGCTCATGAATGACGTTATTCCTGCTAGTCCAAGAGGACCAACATAAGTTTGCAAACATTGAAATATCATCCTCTAATAGTCTCTCTGCCTTGAAAAGAAGAGTTGGGAGCTTTTGTAATCAATTCTAAAAATCCACTCACACCTAAATTAGGCTAGCATATGCTTACTATAAGAGTGGATTAATTAGTTTACTTTTGGATACAGATAGTTTACTTTTATGAGATATATACTTTCATGGACATAGGTACGAGACCCAGCACAAGAACATTGTATGTGAAGAAAGAAGTAAATAGCTTAAATTAGCAACTAGGCTTGCGAACCTTTAAACCAGCCACTAAAACAAGCTCACGAAGGGAAAATATTTACTCTTACCTGATTAGAAAATAAAGCAAAGTGTAAAGACCTAGATAAAAATACATAAGTGTGAAGAGGACATTAATTATTTAGTTATTAACCTCAAACCACTCATCCCTATGTGATTTCCTGTCACCACAAGAAACAAAATTGCACCTGCCACATCCATAAAAGGACCATATATATCGATTTTTGAAATTGATTAAATTATAGGATTCATTGAGGCATTTCGTCAAACACTTAGTGTGCATTAAGAAATCAGCAACAATAATTGAATAATCAAAATTAATTGCAATTTGATTTAAAATTGAAGAAAAGCAAGAAATATTAAAATTGAAATTAAATTCAGCTATTTAACAAAAGACATAAAACGTCTTACCTCAGAAGCTGCTTCAATGGAGTATCAAAAGCTCGAAAAAGCTCGAAATTCCCTTTGATGGAGAATATAGATCATTAGCTTCAATGAAGCAAAGCAAATTGCTAACGAAATTACTAATGAATGCTCCAAATTGATAGGATATATGATCTGATAAACGTAGAAAAAAAAAATAAACCCGAAAAATCGAATTATACCAAATTTTCAATAATTACCTCTATAGTTGAGAAATTGTGCAATTAGTTCAGCAAATTATTGAAGAATTGTTTAAATTGTAGCAAAATTCATGACTTTTGAGCTGATGATTGAGGTGAGAAAGCTTGAAAAACGCTAGAGAGAGAAAATGTTGTCAGCGAGAAAGAGGAGAGAGAAACACAAGTTTTTTTTTTATTTTTTTGGCTAATTTTCTGATTTAATCATGACACAATCGCAGCCATTCACTTTGTTTTAATCTGACGGTTGCAATGAGTTCCTAGTTCCTATTATAGGTGAGGTTCTCATTCTTTGTTTTAATCTAACGGTTGCAATGAGTTCCTAGTTTATATTATAGGTGAGGTTCTCATTATAACCTGATTATATATATATATATATATATATATATATATATATATATATATATATATATATATATATATATATATATATATATATATATATAAAATAAGGGGAGACTCTCGTGAAAATTTTGCTTATATAAGAATTTTTCTTATGTGAGAACACTTTTTATATTCTAAATTTTTACTCGTATGTTCTAAATTTTAAATCTGATGTTCTAAAGTTTTTCCCTGATGTTCTAAATTAAAATCAAATGTTCTAAATTAATACTCACATGTTCTAAACCATAAATTAGTTAAGTTAGATGTTATAAATTTCGAATGACTTATTCCGAAATTTTAACTTATATGTTCTAAATTTTAAAACGTGCATGTGTTTTAAGATTTTTAGTTATATGCTCTAAATTCGAAAGCATATATTCCAATTTTTACTCACATGTTATATATTTTAAATTATATGTTCAATATTTTTACTCCCATTTTCTATATTTTATACCAAGTGTTCTAAATTTTTTATTCACATGTTCTAAATTTTAAATCAGATGTTTTAAATTTAAATCATATGTTCTAAATTTCATAAAGCAAATTTTTTAAATTTTTACTCACATGTTCTAATTCTTGAATTAGATGTTCTATATTATTGCTCACATACATGTTCAAAATTATTAGTCATATGTTCTAAATTATTATTCATATGTTCTAAATTTTTACTCGTATGTTCTAAATTTTTACTCACGTGTTCTAAATTGTAGATCAGTTCTCATATAAGTATGAATTCTCACATATGAACCTATTCTCACCGGATCCCTATATATATATGTATATATATATATATATATATATATATATATATGTATATATATATATGTATATGTATATATATATGTATGTATATATATATGTATATGTATATATATATGTATATGTATATATTTTCTTCCCAATTTCTCTCTTATCAATAACTTATTAATACTAAAAGACCATCATCAATGACACGTGTCATCTATATATTATATATACTAAAAGACACATCATCAATGACATGTGTCATCTCTTGGTGTGTCATTAGGTTTTTTTTTTATTTTTATTTTTTTTTTTTTTGAAAAAAAATTCTATTTAAGAAACAAATTAAATCTTTCTACATATAAGTAAAAATTGCATATAAACTAAAACAAAAGATTTTGATACAACTTTTTTTATTTAGGAAAAATATTTGATATAACTTTCCACAAAAAACATATTGACAATTATAACTTATGCAAAAAATAAAAAAAATAATATTCTTAACATAATTTGTGACATATGACTTTTGGTTTTTTTGGAAAGACATATTGTGTACTATATATGTTTAATACAACAAGATTATATATTGTTTTGTTGATTTTTTTTTTTTTGTAAAATTATGTAGTAGAAGCTACAAGCTTAAGTAATGAAATACGAATATCAAATCAACAAATGATACTTTTGTCATTTGTATGAATAAGTTATGATTAAAATTTCAATCAATTAATACTCTATGAATACTTTAGTAAGATTTTTCAATAAAGAAACATATTGATTATTCTCAGTGTGATATTTTTCTGTCATTTTTGTTGTTTTTTAGCATTCAATTAATATGAATATAACATAAGAAATCAAAATATTTAACACTGTTAATTTTCAAAATATTTATTAAAATTACCGTCTATCATACGAAACCTAATCTAATTTTCTTAATTTTACAACTAAACATCTTATAATTTGTTTCCATTCAATATAATTTCTTTCCATATTCAATCCGATTTCAAAATCCTTGATTCGTACGGACTAATTCGGTACAAATCAAAGATCCTAGAACTAGAAACAACCCTCTGTCAAAAAAAAAAAAAAAAAAAAAAAAAAAAAAAAAAAAATCCTAGATACAACCCGATCTTTAAAAATTTGTAAAATCAAACAACACCCGTGTGACCACGCAGCCACCGTGGGTGTCATTCTTTACCAAACTCCCAACCTCCGCCTTTACACCCACTAATTCCCGCTTTCCACTACTTCCGCGGGACACCGTCTCCGGTGCCTCCGCCTCTTTCTCTACCATAAATAACATAAAACTCAATTCAACAAAACCCAAAAAAGAATGAGCAAGAAAAAGTGTAAAATAACACTTCCAGTAGTAATGGTAGTTTCTGCAATCTGCTACATCTATTATGCAACTATCTTTGTTTTCATTGATCGATGGTTTGGTCTATTTTCATCCCCTGGTCTTATGAATGCTTTCGTTTTCACTGCGATTGCTATCAATTGTATATTTACCTATGCCATTGCAATTGTTCGGGATCCGGGTCGAGTTCCTTCTTCTTTTACCCCCGATATTGAAGATTCCCATAATTCGATCCAAGAGGTTAAGCGAAAGGTAATGTGATTTTTCTATGAATTTTGTTTAATTTTTTTGTTTTTGTTCTGTGTGTTTGTTTCAGATTTGTGTAATTTTTAGTTTGCGTTTCTGTTGGTTAATTTCGCGGCTCAAGGGAATTGCATGGTCAGATTTTAAGGTGAATTATTCATGATCCTTGTTAATAATCTATTTTTCTTGGTAGAATTTTATTACCTTTTGATCCGTAATTAACTTTATGGTAGATCATACTGTCTGTTTTAATAGCATAGAATGGTCGAAAAATTGATTCCGGCTGCATTGCTATCTGCCTGATTAGCGTACCTGCCTGTGGAAGGGCTGTGCACATTGTTGTGAAACGCGCGTGTCTAGCCAGTTTGATGTTCTGTGTCGTGCCTAATCAATCGCCTTGTTTTTACCATATTACTTATTAGTTTTGAAGTAATGTGACATGTGATTAGATTTTCAAAATGATAAAATGGCTCATATAAACTCACATCTAATCAATAATATGATGTGGGATATTAAACTGGCTGGTATAGCGGGGAGAATATGCTGAAATGATGATGCAGCATACAAGGAGTGTTTTGTTGGCACATGACATTAACCATGTAATGGTGAATTGATTATCTCTGCAAGAGTTAGAATAGCTATGGTGATTGGTGATAGCATGAAGAATCTGATTGAGTATTTAGGTATTAGGGGAGAGTATGGTCAATTTGTTTGGAAATTGGTTTTTTGCCTGAATGCGTGTTACTTGATCACTGTATTTATGAAACAATGTGTTACTTGATTACTTTGAGTTGACAATGCACTATATAAGGAGTGTTGGGAGACCTTGGGAAATGACTTGAAACAATCAGAAATATGCAGTGGTTAACACAGCATCTCTGCAGGACTACAGGAGTTAGGGTTGCTATGTTGACCCATTTTTAATTGATGTGTGGTGATAGTATAAATCTATTTGGGTGTTGAAGGAAGCTGTGTCTTAGAGGTGTCATCTACTGTCACTGAAGACACAATGCGTAGAGGAAGGCTTATAATCTTCAAACGCTTTTGGCAAAAGCATTACATGCCTTACATTACATTTTTTATTTTTATTTTGGCAAAAGCATTACATGCCTTACATTACAGTTTTAGATTTCCAAACTATGTCACCATTACATTTTTATTTTGTATAATATTTAATAAGCATAGCCTCTCCCCTGTAATTCTGTCTAATATGGGTGTTTTTGCTGCCGCATTATGTTACCGTGTAGTGATTGCAAGGCAGTCTGTCATCTATGTAGTGGTAGCAAAGAACTTCATCCTCTCATCCTTCTCAGCTTGTGTCCAACATCCTAACTACATGACAATTCCAAAGATAAGAGCTTTATTAGTTTTGAATTGCTGAGCCTAGATAGCATGGTATTCTTAACTTGGTGCCTGGGCCCTTGTTATAACTCTCTTCCTTGTTTTGTTAATTTATTATTTATTTCCTGCCTTTTATTGAAAATTCTTATGGAAAAGTGTAGTGGTGAGATTCTTATTAAACTTTGGGTATTGTATGTTTGATCAACTATGGATGGTACCCATAGGATCCATCCACATAATGATGAGATCAAAGGCATCATGAGGAAAATTTTGTTTACTTTCTTTATCTATGTTTGAGTCGTCTATTATCTGTGAGATTAGGTGGCGTTAATAAAAAAAGTCACGCATGGTTAATAGAATTAGGTGTTTGTTTTCATAATTAGATCAGTCTCTAGTTAAGTACATTAGAGTTTAGTGAGGAGTACATGACCGTGTATTAGGATGCATAAGTACATTACTGTGTAGTGTATTTCACACGGCCATGTAGTCTAGTTTTTTTCTCTTATTAGGATATAATTAGGATTTTTTTTTTCTTATTAGGGATTACTTTTGAGTTTATTTTGTCTTTTCGGACTCGTTTGGTTGAATGTAGAAATTGCATATTCGCTGGAATCTTTATTTTCCATGTAATTGGATTTCCTAGGAAATTCTAAAAAGTATTTGGTTAACCATGGGAAGTTGGGAAGTGGAAATTTTAAGGAATTCTATTTCCCATGAATTTGTCAACCAAACACCACAAAAGAATTCAATTACTAGGAATTTCAACTTCCTATGTTTTTTTCGTCTACTAAACGACACCTTAAAATCCTATTTATTACCTTATAAATAGGTGTCTTTTCATTAATAAAACTGAAGAGTAATTATTGAAATTATAATTTTGAACGTATTGATCTTTGCTTGAGACTGCAAACATGTTTTCGAGATTAAACCAACAACTTTGATCGAGATTCCATAGTCGAACCCTCATACCTTGAGATTGGTTTGAGCCTCCTTTCAAACACCAAGCAAGTACACATCATTTGGTATCAAGAGCCAAACTTTTTCAAAATATTTCATGATCTAAAAAACCCAGTTTGAGTACGGATTTGTTTTGCTTCGTTCTCCCTCGTTACCAGGGCTTTTCAACAATTCCTTTTTTTTTTCTCTTGATTGTTTTAGCTGTTTACTTTTCACCTATGAAAGTCCAGAATTTTTAGGCGTGGTCTGCTAATAAACTGGGTTTGTTTCTGTCAATGGGTCCATGCATTAGTTGTGGACAGCAAAATTGTTTTCAATCATATAATTATGTGAGTTCTAAACATGACATGGGTGGATGGACTAGACATATTCATTTGGTTCATGTTTGATTGATTTGGATGATATCCATGCTTTGCTAAAACTTTAGACTAGGTTTATTTATTTATTTATTTATTTTCTATATATAACAGGGGAGTATGATGCGGGATCAAGGACATCATGAGTGGGATTTAATTACTTTATTTATTTATGTTTGAGTCATCTATTAAACGTGAGATTTGGTGGCGTCAATAAAAAAATCACACATGGTTAATAGAATCAGGTACTTCCTCCGTTTATTTTTGGTTGCATCACTTTTCTAAAACGTAAGTTTTTAATTAGTTGCATCACTTTTCTTTTTAGTTAATAAACTCTATCTATTCTCTATCACATGGATCCTTATTTTTATTCTCTCTCATTTCCAAAAATTGTCTAGGAATCCGCAATTTGAAAAGTTATGCAACTAAAAAGAGGAGGAAGTATTTGTTTTCATAATTAATTCAGTCTAACTAGGGGTGCTTATGATGCGAGTCGAGTTCGAGTTTGGGGTAGCTCGACTCGATTCGTTAACACATCGAGACGATCGTAGACCGAGTCGATCTTGAGTAGCTTGCTAATTGATTCATTCTAAATAGAACCTTCTATTTAGTATGACATTTGTTCCTTCTCATTAATATTGTATTACAAGAAATATATATGTGATGATGCGAGTATATTAATATTATAAATTTTATTAATTTTTTTTGAAAAATAAAGTTTTTGAATCAAAATATTTTTATTTTTATAAATATCATAAATGTATAAAGAGATTCGAGTTTCTCACGAGTCGAGTATTGAGCTACTCGACTCGACTCATTAACATTTCGAGTCAATCTCGAGCTCTAGTTGAGCTCACTCAAATCAAGTTTTGACCGAGTCGAGCTCGAGTAGCTTGCGAGTTGTCTCGTCTCATAAGCACCCCTAAGTCTAAGATTCTAGTTAAATGCGCGACGGTGTAGTAAGGAGTAAAGGAGTAAAATGACTCTGGACTAGAAGTACATTTGTACATAACCGTGTAGTGTATTTCACATGGCCATGTAGTCTAGTCTTTTGGGTTATGGGATAAAATACACCCTTTACATTGGGATATAATTAGAATTTCCTTGCTTTTAGGGATTACTTTTGGGTGTATTTCATCTTTTAGTATCCTATTGGGCATGGGAAGTATGCCTTATAAATTGGTGTGTTTTCATTTATAGAATTGAAGAGTGATTATTGAGATTAAAATTTTGAACGTATTGTTCTTTGCCTGGTATTGGAAACAAGTATTCGAGACTAAACCCATAACTTTGATTGACGTCTCATAGTTGAACTCTCTTACCTCGAGATTGGTTTGAGCTTATACAGCGCAAATGCACATCATGTAATTCATTTATTTTTTAATACATTTTCTTCGTTTCCTAAGGTATTTTATAACTAGCTTCAGATATGGTATTTGATTGTGAAAATTTTAGGTATCTTGAGGCTTGAGCTATTCCGTTTCTTTTCTTCTAGACACAGAACAGTTGCCAATGATACAGGAGATAATTTTCACCCCTCAAGATATGATATTGGCAGCCTAATGCTTTGATTAGTCAGTTGATGCACACTTTTCAACAAACCTTGATTTACTCTAAGGAAAGCGGAAACACTCCATTAAATAATTATCCTTTTGAGCTTGAAAGGGTACTGGCTCTTACGATCCTTCTTAATACATTTCACCCTCAAAGTTCAAGTGTTTGATTTGTTTATCTTTGCTTTTTTTTTGACACAATGTTTATCTTTGCTCAATAGTGTAATAACTATATTCCCTTTATCTTTGCTCAATAGTGTAATAACAGTGATATTCCCATCTGCTATTGTCTCATGCTTGAAAATGGAATAACTAGAGGCAGAAATTGTTTTATATTCACGGCCCACAACACACAACTCAAGTTTCTATTATTAACATGCTGTTTCTAATATAAAAGGATTCCAGGAAGCTAGTGTGCAACTTGGTGCCAAAGACCCAACTTTATGGTGTCAACTAAAAGAAGACGATCAGTCTTGCAGGCAAACTAGTAACAATTTGATTAGTTTTCTCCTATCTCACCAAAGGCTCTCTCCGAGTGTAGCTCTTTGCCATATATTTCTGGACACAAGTAATATCAGCTATGGAGGATGGCTTCATGATCCCATGTAACTTCTAAGTACATAGCTTTAAGTTGTACCTCTCTATCTCTCGTCCCCTTCCAGCCAATCATTTTGTCAGCGTCTTGCGTTTACACAGATCCTTTAAAAATCTAAGAAACTTGCAGACCTAGTTTTCTTCCCATTAGCACAGATCTGAAAAGATATCTTGACTTTTTTGTGTAACTACTATCCTAAACATTTCCTATTCTAAAATTCTTAAGGAACTCCGCCTTGCCACAGCCACCACAAATGCAACTGATTTCCAAACCCATTACCACCTGCAATTGCCAACATTGTATAGCAATTTAAAGCAGCAGGCAAATTTTGTGCTAATGCCTTATTATTGTCTAATACTGTTACCAAGTGCTTCTTCGGATCTACTACCAGCATTTGAATGCACTAAGGTACAGTATAGATCAGTGAATCCTCAAAAGATTACATGTCATAAAAGAAAGAATAGACAGCATAGGGATAAATTGATGATGTAGCTTGACTTCAAAGGAGAAAAACGAATGCAGAAAGATGATCAAGAATTCCTATAAAATACCTCCATCTTTCACCTAATATACTATGTAAAAAGCACAATGGCACTTAAGTGGACTTGTTTGGCAAGACCAGAAACTTTTTTGTGTACATGATGGTTGATTATTTAATGCATCTTTGAATGTCTGCCTGTTTATTTCTGTTATTTTTCCCTGGAAAAATGTTGTAATAATGATATGCCTCTGTAATTAGCCTTCACATGCATCTGTTAGCTATAGCTTCTTTGTGTTCTGCTTAGTTCTGTGTCTTATTTATGAATTATAGTAACTATGCACTACAACTAGTACTAATGTACAAGATACAAGTGATGATACTATGATAGTAGTTTTATTGACCTCATGTATACTGTATTTGTTATTTTTTGTTACTCCTTTTGATGGGTTAATTTTGTATCATTTGAGGGTGTCAATTCCACTGTTTCTTTTGTTTACAGTAGTCTGATTTCTAATGCTTCGTTGTTTCCCTTTTTCCTTCCTAACTTCCTCTATTTTGAGTGTTTCTACTCTTTACACTCATTCCAAGTCAATTAAGGAGTCTATTTAAAATTGGATATGTTTCCCTTTTTCCTTTCTAACTTCCTCTATTTTGAGTGTTTCTACTCTTTACACTCATTTCAAGTCAATTAAGGAGTCTACTTAAAGTTGGATATGATACATATCACCAAAAGTAATCCTTAAACCTATTTAGATACCCTGATCTCACCATTATAATTGAAGGGAATTCTCATGCATTTTGGACGAACCTTGACGTGGATGCTTCTGAATCCTCCAGAAAATTTCCCAACTATGTTCTTTTTCATTTTTCACTTTTTTTTTTCCTTTCCTTTTTTTATATCAATGGGATTTGAATTGAATTTCTACCAATGTGGACTAGTAGCTATAACTGCTTGTTCTGGATATGCATCAAGGTTGTATCATCCTTGTTGATTGATGATCAAGTCTGGAATGATTTAATTAATAGTTTGTTCTGGTGTCTCAAATGCTTTGGGATGGCAGAGTGATTAATCTTACGCTTATTCATGTGTGGATACCCTATTGCAGAGTGGTGACTTAAGATATTGTCAGAAATGCTCCCATTACAAGCCTCCTCGTGCACATCATTGTCGAGTATGCAAAAGATGTGTTTTGCGGATGGTATGCGTCTGTTTAATTGTACCTGTACCTGACTGAGTATATTGTAGTGGATATGCATTTTAATGGAGTTTTATGAATGCCAGGACCACCACTGCATATGGATAAATAATTGTGTAGGCCATGCTAACTATAAGGCGTTTTTTATCTTTGTCCTATATGCTGTAATAGCATGCATACACTCTGCGGTACGTTCACGTTGTGTCATCTATGCTTTCTTTTCCTTTTTATAATTTTATTTTATTCTGAATTTGTTTATTTTTAAAATGTTATACATTTGTTTTCTTGAAGCAATTAGTGAGGGATTAGCAGACATTAATCAAATCATATTTTTGATTCTTACCCTTTTGCATTTTTCAGGTATTGCTTCTGGGTAGTATAGTTTATGACACTGTAAAGGATGAACAGCAAAATGAAGAATCATCAAGAACTGTATATGTAAAGCTTCCATTGCGTTTTTCTTTCTCTTAATCATTTTATTTTGGGTAATTGTTGATTTAAATTATTCGATGTTCTAGGATGATGTTTATTTTCTTGCTTGGAACCCATGTGGGATATTCATTGTTCAATTGTATATTTTCTTCACAGGTGGTATCATGTCTGCTTTTATTTCCTTTGACTATAGCACTTGGCGTTCTCCTTGGCTGGCATATCTACCTGACTCTACGAAATAAGACTACTATTGAGGTTTGCATTCATCAAATTGGTGTTATATATTGCTCATTTCTTCATTGCTGAATGGTTTTTTTAATTTATTTTGGACATACATTGCAGTATTGTGAAGGAGTCAGAGCTATGTGGCTTGCAGAGAAAGGAGGAGAAGTGTACAGACATCCTTATGATCTCGGTGCTTTTGAAAATTTAACTTTGGTAAGTTTCCTACATATCACTAGTAAATATTTTGCAAGTAGGGTATACTGTTGATATAGAACAAATTAATTTCGTGCATATGATTTGGGCTGTGTGCTTTAGCTTTCTTATGTCATAACTATTTAAACTTATCTCTTCAATTTAATCAGTTTGAACTTTTATAATTATGGTACAGTCTAGGATTACTTACTAAATTTCTTTTTGTTTTGCTTGAATTTGTAGCTTTTTTTCACTATAAAAAAGAAATTTTGTGTGTGTGTGTGTGTGTGTGTTTGGGGGAAGAGGGGGGGGGGGATATGTAAGTTTCACTCTGCTTCTAAGGCTTGTGGCTGAAGATATGACATGAGCAAGGATTTGGGTGTTTATTATTTGGCTTGCAAGTGTTCTTTGAAGGATAGGATTCTTAATCTTCAGTATTGTGAATACATTTTCTTTCTTCATATAAATTATCATTTTCAAAGCAGCTATAGCATAGCCTCACTCATTAGCTACTTTTAGTGTCTGGAGCTTACAAAAGATCCCTGATCTTATCCTTTTTTTTTTTTTTTTTTTCTTTAAAAACATAAGAACCCCAGGAATGACTGCGATCTTAGGGAAAAGGGTTGCAGAGGGGGTGTGTGGGTGTCAGATTGTGTGTATGAGAATACAGGTTTAGCTGTTTAGGGCGTGAGAAACCACGCCTTATGACGAAAGAGGAGCATTATGTCCGATCAATACACCAGTCTGCGCTCTGATAAAGGTTGCTATGGAAGAAATTAGGCACTGAACTTAGGTTTAGTAGTGCTTATCACTCAGGACGGCCAGACTCCAGTCGTCGGTTTACTGGAAAATTTTATGAAGAGCTTAGTGCAAGTGTCGACTACACATCAGTCTTTTTAACCAAGAGCTTGTTCCGAAATAGGGCGCATGGGGGAATGGGGGAATTTCCACTATCTATTTATATAGATTTAATAAAGAAGATCCGAATGGCCCCCTAGACTTGCTAGCTCTAACAAATATTTGTGTCAATCAGCTTACAAAACAGAACTAAACTTAAAACTATGGTTGTTAGCTCGTAATTTATAATGAGGGGTTTAATTTTTAATTTTCTTATTTAAGGAGCACAAGGATGAAACAAAAGCAAGAAAATTGCAATGAATTGTATCTTGATATATTAGGTAATAAAACAAGGCGAAAATTGCTAATACATACGCTTTAATGCCAGTCCCTTCCCTTGCAAGTTGCAACTAATCAGCAAAAATACTATTTATAGACTCATAATCCGTATAGTAGTTATAGGTTTCCCCTATTTGATTATAATAAAGCATTGTAAAGCTGTGTGAAACAAGGACAAACCCACAAACATTATTTGATAGAAATTTACTATCATAAAAATGATAAAATACACAATTACACATCAGACTACAGGCAAAATTGATTTAAAACACCTACGCGGAAGCTTCCTTGCAAAGACCCAACTAATTATGAAATTGATTAAATTGCAGCCTTACTTGCCGGACTTCACGCTATTTCAAGGAAGCTGACAGCTTAGCTAAATGAAACTTTGTATCTCCGTGTTACAAGCCAAAAAGTCCTTGCAAAACAAATTTATTAGCTCACTAAAATATTCTTCTTTTGTAGCTGTTACCGACTTTCACTCATATATTGCATACAACTATTATGCAAAGATTTTGAACTACTACTTCCATTCTAGGATTTCTTTTTATAGAAACTACATATTTATTGGAACTGTTAATTATCTGCGCATAATTTATCCCAATGGCTTTGTTTGGCAATTAGTTTTTAGCTGTTTGCATAAACTGTTTTGACTAGCCGTTTATGTAAAAGTGTTTGGTATATTAGCTGTTAATTATTAGCTGTTTTGGTGAACCCAAAAAGTTCTTTCAAAAAACTCCTAACTAAACACCCCAATGAGCTTTTTGAAATGAGTTTTTCCCAATTCCCCCCCCCCCTCCCAAACAACCACTATCACTATCCACCAAGAACGATAAGAAAGTCTATTCCTAGAGATTGTTCAACAAGTCTCTAGCCAACTCAATGGAGAGAAATAAATAAATAAACGGAGGACCCATGTGTTGAGGAGACATAGGGGTGTTTGGTTAGGAGTTAAAAAGCTCCTAACCAAACACCCCTATGTCTCCTCATCACATGGGTCCTTTCATTTTTTTCTCTCCATTTTTCTCCTATTAGCTAACAGAAGTTCTAGTATCAGTAATTCAAATAAGATAAATTGCAGCTTATAAAATATGGGAAAGGTCAGCATTGTTCTCAAACCTTGTGACATGTATAGCGGAAAAAGGAAATTGAAAGATAGTTTGAAGTTTTTTGGTGCGTATGAATTTAGGTTTATTTCTGTATGCTTTATGGGATGTATAACATACCCATTTCAATAATTAATTGTTTGGTTGATTTTCCCTTCTCCAATAGGTCCTTGGGCCAAGTGTCTTCAGCTGGATATGCCCTACCTCAGGCCACATTGGTTCAGGATTACGCTTCCCTACTGCATATGATAAGCTTACTGAATCAGCATCAGAATAAAAGGAAATGATTTTGGCTATGAAGCTAAGTCATTCAGTTTACATGGTGTTCCAGGGAGCGCATATGGTTTCTTCGTCCAGAGTGTTTTAGATGCAGCTGCTGAAATGGCTTTCATGTCAGTGTCTAAATGCAAGTTTTAAGGCTGTCGCTACAGATTAGTCAAAATATATCAAAAGTTGAATGATTATTTGATATGGATAGTTGTCAGTAAAATCTTCAGTTCTGGAGTTGCACAATAATGGAGTCTGAGAGACTAGAAACTGTTTGTGGCTGGTATACAACTGGAGTCTGGATATCACAACACAGCTGAAGCCTTGGTTCCATTAGTTAGGAGGATATTATTCATCATTCAATTGTATAACACAATAGTTTTGTAAAACAAGAAACTTGTAATATATTGGTGTATTTGTAATCTGAAATACCAATGGTCATGCATTTCTTGTTCATGAAATGAAAATAAAGAAGGATTGAAATTTATGAGAGACTAAAAAAAAAAACTGTGATATCCTCTTTGCTGAAGCATTTGATAATAAGCATAGACAGTGAAAAGGTGTACTGGAAAAATGATATCGAAATGATTAACTTAAAATTCAGCTTCTTTCACTACAGAACACATTGGATCATTGTCTTAATTATTTATGAAAAGTTACTGTATTCTAACATAATTTTTAGAAAATACAAGTTTATGTTTATGATAAACAATGTTTATCTAGTGGTATTTGGGGAATAAGTCAAGAACTATTTTTAAATATGGGTCCCCATAAATATGGAGTTATTTATGAAAATGTGATCTGACTGAAATGATTTTTGTTTATCATCAGGGCTCCCTCATTGTGCATTCAATTTTATTTCTTATTTTTTACTTCTAATATTATTTTCTAAACCTGGCCATATTTTTTTAGCAAGCATTCCACTTATACTTCCTCCACAAGTTAGTAGGGCATAAAACCTTATCCAATAATTTACAGAAGAATATGAAATCTCTGACGTGGCCTCTTATCCATAAACCCACAAACCTGCTAATTTAAGCACCCTTTTTCATCATCTCCTTGGCTTAACCTTACCAAAATCCCTGAAAACTTCTAAAATTTAGTTTAAAACTAATGGCAACCATGACCTCCTTCAAGTCCCAATTTTTGATGAACCCATTGATACCGTCGCAAATAACAGCTACAAGAAATTTAATCACGGTTAGATCTCCTCCTAACCTTCACCAGAAGAAGAGGTTTTCAGTGAAGGCAGCAGTGGGAGAATTATCCTCTGACAGCACCACTTATTTGATTGCTGGTGCTGCTGCTGTTGCTCTCCTTGGTACTGCCTTTCCCATTATTTTTTCCCGCAATGATACGTACGTGTTTTCTTCCTTTCTCCTGTTAATTATAGCGTACCTAATGTACTTATTTTTCGACATTTTGGAGTTTATGTTAAAATTTTGAATATAGGAATGCATTATTTCAATTGTTTATATCTTTAATTACTTCTTAGTAATGTTTGATAATTGTGTGTGGTACTTCACACAGGTGTCCTGAGTGTGACGGCGCGGGTTTTGTCAGGAAATCAGGAAGCGCGCTGAGGGCAAATGCAGCTCGCAAGGATCAAGCTCAAATTGTATGTGCTAATTGCAATGGCCTTGGCAAGCTCAACCAAGTCGACAAATAAATTTTACTCCTATCGCCTTTTAAAATCATGCTTTTCGCCATCTAAGTAGATTAATTTCATCTTTGGATTGACTAATTGTACATAACTGTAAGGCTCATATTCTTGTAATAATCTTAATTGATGCAAGACACGGTAATATTCGTATGTGTTTAGTATTATTGGTGATCACGAGAATATGACTCCAAAAAGTTCATATAACTTCCAGTTCATCAAATATGGGATTACTGTACGAAAGATGCCCAAAAGTTCTAATTACTTGTATGATGTATCTTTGTTAATCTTTTCCTTTGATACATTGTCAGCAAGATGGAAATCTGATACAACCTTTGTGTTTTTGAAATGCTTATGAACTTAAACAAGGTCAAGTTACATCAATTGACATAAAATATGGTCTACAATCATTGACACTACCTTGTTTGTGTACTCAAATAAACATGAACATAATATATAAAGCTAGTCTATTCATTGATTTGTATGAAGAAAGACTGATGTAAGTTGTAGTATTATACTAACATTAGTTTAAACAAGGAATTCGACTTTGTCAAAAGAAGAAAAAAAAAAAAAAAACAAGGATTTCGAACTTGAGCTTCAAGACTTTCTCTCCCTAGGAATTAGAAACCCCTGTTCTTATCCCTCCCTGCTTCCACCGCCCCTCTCGTTCTTAGCCCTTGCTCGCCGGCGACGGCTCTAGCCGTCGCCAGCGAGCCTAGCCCTTCCATCTTTTCAGTTTATGCTTTTAATTTTCGTTCTTACCTTAATTTTCGTTTCTTGGGTCGTTTGGTGTAGATTCAGGGGTCCTCTTTGGTTGGTTGTGGTTGCGTTTAAGTGGTTCTCCGTCGATTGTTTTGCGGCTTGCTTCTATAAATCAAGAACCAAAAAGCTAGCTTTAACGCCGTCGTCGAAAGGAATTTCTTTAATTCCCGACGGTAAAGGTGAAGTTAAGGTTAGGGTTTCCTCGCGTATCCAAGGTTTGGTTCAGTGAGGGATTCTTGGGTTGCCGTGGACAGTTGTTAGTGGTGTTGGGTGGGGTTGCTGCCGTTGAGGTTTGGTTTTCTCGGCCTTCTCCTCTGTTCTTTCGCAAGGTTGTTTTGTTGTTTATTTTAGTTGTTATTAGTTTTGTTTTAGTTAAATTATGATTGTTTTGTTTAAGATGTATGTTTTGTTGCTTGGGTTTTTGTTGTTTTACAATTCTCTTTCTCGGCATAGTCTTGAGTTAGAGTTTCATAATGTAGATCAAGTTTTGGAAGTTATCGAAGTGTGTCTTGGTCTTTGGAGCCTTGTTGGTGGGTTTTGAGGGTTGTGAGTTTAAGCAACCCCTCTTACGTTAGGAAGGTGGTCCTACTAGTAGTCTTGTCAGGGTGTGAATGCGTTCACCTGGTAGTTGAATTAGTTCTCCGGGGGGGGGGGGGGAAGTTATTTGTGCAGTTGGATAGTTTTTCGAGCATATGGAGTTTGCAGGAGAAGGGTGGTTTAGAGGGAGGAGTTTGGTTTGCAAGTCTTGTTGCTCGTTTGTGGGATGATATGGGCATACAACCAATTGCTATTATCCCTTGATTAGTTTGGGTGATGACGAGGTCAGTCATCGTTGTTAATCAATCCCTTGATTAGTTTGGGTGATGACAAGGTCAGTCATCGCGGTTAATCAATATCTTGAAGGAGGCTACCCATCTTTATTGTTTGGGTTAAGCAAAGTCCTCCATTTTCTTGCATTCTCTGTTAGTAAAATTGCAAGAGGAGAAACTGCATTTGAATGAACGGTTTCTTGTAGTGTTATTAAGATAGATGACTCTACAGGTTTTGTTCTCAAGCTCCTAGGATGCAGTTATGTTTTTCGTTCCTTAGGAGTGGAATGGTGTCACAGGTCCGTTTCTCAGCAACATGATGCATACTTCGGGTTTTTCCGTCTCCCAACATTTTCGATCTAGAGTTCCCTTCGCTTTCAGTGCCAGCTTGGATTCTCTTCAATGTTAAGAATATGCGCTTTTGGTTCATCTCGACTGCTTCGGTTCATTTGGCTTCTCTTGGTCCACTTTTTGGATGTGGTTCGGTTCTTATGGTGGATCGGGCTCTGCAACTTTTTGTTTGTTGCAAGACCATTTCAATGTTTTGTTCTCTTCGATCTTCTTGTAATGGTTCTTAGTGTGTGTAGGTTGTTAAGTGTTTTTGTTTTAGTTAGTATTAGGTTGTAATTATAAAGCTAACAAAATCAATAGAATGGTCTGTGTTTTGGGGAAAATAACCCCGCCACATGGGCCACTTAAAATAGGACACTTGTCCACCTAGAATTGGTCAAAAGAGGCCAATAGCAGCATGACACATGGAATCCACTGTCAAGAGAAGGAATGGCGGCCTTCAAGGGCGCAATTCCCAAAAGGCGGCCAAAAGCACGGGAAACCCACCAAATCTAGGTTAAATGCCTTATGTAAGGGCATACTTTTCCCAATGACCCTATAAATAGGGAGATTTCCCACATTTGTGGGGTAGATTGATTTTTATTACAATATTTCTGACATTCTCTTACATCAGAGAAATCTCCAAATCTCAAAATCTGATAAGATCTCACTTTTATCTTTTCCGCACTTTTTACTTTCTTTAGCACGTTCTAACTTGATCGTCGAAGGCGGAGCTCCACCCACCAGGAGTTTCCGTTGTTTTGCAGGAATAGGCGTTTCCCAATCAGTTTTTGAGTTGTAACTCTCCCGAGGGACAAAAACAACCAAAACATTTGGCGCCGTATGTGGGGAAAGTACCTCAAGGATGGTTCAAGAGTCTGTACCGCCTCTTAACACTAAGGCTAATCAGCCGGAGGTCTTTACCGACCATGAGGATGATGATCCTTAGGTCGAAACATAGATTGCGAACGATGGCTCACTCATCACAAGGTGCATCCATCCCAGAGACACTCTGGAACGGGGTGAAAGCCAGGCGGGTACCAGGAAGCCCCCTGGTCAGCCGAAAGGGGAAATCTAGATGCCAAGCGAATCCACCCCAATTACTCGGGACGAACTCATGAAATTCATGACTAGTTTCAAGGGTGAAATCAAGGATCTAATCACCAAAAGTAAGGCTGGCCCAAGTAAGGGTCAGTCGGCAAGGAAGACTCCTCAAGAGAGGTGGAAGTTAGTCAGGGACATGCAGCTAACTTCGCATCCAAAGGACAAGGCAGCCGCAACGCTTAAATGGTCCAAGATCCTTGGCCTCAGAAGGGTCCGAGAAAACCCCACCGGGAGGATTAACCGGTGGGTAGACAAAAATCTACCCCTGACGCTCGGGAAATCATCGTGTGCAGGAGAAGTCAACAGCTGTCTAAGTCAGCCTCTACTTCGTGCTTTCTCAACAACTTCAAGAATACATCTGCAGGGAATACTCAATCCTTGCATGAGAGCCATACAGGCGGTAATACTGTCCATTTTGACCCTCAGATGATTTGGAATGCACCGTACGTACCCCTTACGGTTTACGGTCCGTATTCTCCTCATTTCATGCAGCCGATCCTCTTTGGGGGTTAGGCGATATACAATGTCCAACCTTTGGAATGGCAGCTTCTTCTTCTCAAACTTAGTGAACAAACTTCTGCGTTCACCAAGGAGAAGGCCTAGGTTAAGAATGTGTTGGTGAGTGCCTATGACGGCACCACCAACCCCGAAGACCACCTCATGACTTACTCCAACCTCATGCACATACCAGGTTGGAGGATGCTATGTGGTGTCGGTGCTTCCCGGATACATTGAAGGGCATTGCCCAATAATGGTTTGGAAACCTGCTAGCCAGATGCATTGACGGCTTCAGGATGATTGCCTTCCTATATGCCTCTAACTTCTCGATAAACATCCCTGCC